GTAAATGTACAGAGGTCAGGTTTCAGTGGGTGAGATACAGGTAAATGTACAGAGGTCAGGTCTCAGTGTGTGATACAGGTAAATGTACAGAGGTCAGGTTTCAGTGGGTGAAATACAGGTAAATGTACAGAGGTTCAGTCTTTTGTTAGGTCTCTAGTGGTTAAAACTGTCCTTCATTAAGAGCTCAGAATTAAGTCATGTATACTTGTCCCATTTTATCCATCCAACAGGTGGTGGTATTGCTGGAGGAGCTCACTGACCATCTGGGTCCACCTCGCGGGCTACTTTCAGAGCTTCAGAGGTGGCCATGTCTGTGTTGGCAGCAGTAACAGCCAAGATGATGCAGTTGGGGTTGCTGATGTACTTCAGGATCAGATCCCTGATCTGGATCTCAATGTCTTTGGGCTGGTCTCCCACAGGAACCTGGGAGGAACAGCAGCAGAGGGACAAGCTTAGGGAGCACAGAGTGATAGAAACTGAAATCCATCGCACACCTCAATTCCAACAAACCAACTTCTGCATAGTGGGTATAATACCTTTGTGATGCCAGGCAGATCCACCAGGGTGAGGTTCACCACATGAGGAGAGAAGATCTTCAGGTGAATGGGTTCATCGCTGATGCCCTGGAGGAGATGTCGAAATGAATAACAAATATACCAGCAGTAACTACAATTTTACAATGAATGATGCAGCTTGAATGTGCCCTTCATATTTCAATGGAAGGAAGAGAAAATGAACTTGTTGCCTTACCTTGTTGCTACCTGAAACCCTTTCAGTTTCATTTTCAATTTCTTGCCTGATTTCATCAAATTCTGTATAGACCTAAAAAAGGAAATCATTCAAATACCGATTCACTATCTCAGAGTCATTTTTAGCCCACAGGACTGACACTATTTTTCCATATCTGTATATTTCTGGCAAAGCACAGGGGAAAAATCATGATCTACACACAAACACATGCAGATGTTCATCCCTGAGCCCTCCCCCCCCACCATACACACACACTCAAAGCCAAAAACTTGTTTTTCCACCAAACGGTCATGAGGCACTGCCATTTACTGGCCCACACTTTCTTCCAAATGTGCAGTCCTGACAATCTAGAACATTCCTGAGGATCGACATTCTGCTCTATTGTTTAAATTCATGTGGGGGTGACAGAGGTCATGAAAGGATTGCAAAAAGGACATTCAAACAAATGCACCAAATGGGTATCTTTTGGGCCTATTACCCATCAAGCATCGCTGCATAAGTGAAACCAACCTTGTTTTTGGTGTGCAGAAACTTGCCCCATTCTTCTACCTCCAACCCTGTGAAAACAGGACAATCACAGACATGTCGCAGGACACTGTGTTTTTCTCATGTTTTCTATTTTTTTTTTTGGGGGGGGGGGGGGTCAAATGTAGAGGACAACTTTAATATGTCGTTTCCCCTTTGGTGGGGGGGCTTGTTTAGTTTATACAGCTGACTGTGGGTTAGATTTTGTGGTCTGAGACCAAGTACCAGTAACACACTGCTAGAGTAGATTTCCACAGGGACCTGTACAAACCAGTAAAAAAAAAAGCAGCGGGAAATGTTTTGCTGTTAGCAACAGAAGAGCTGTGTGAAACAAGCTGAAAAAGCGCTATGCATTGTGGGAAAAAGGCAGCCTGTGCGATCTGCTGGCCAAAATGCTTATAGCAAGTGTTTAGCATTCAGCTTTATGCAGACTATCTGGAAGAATGTAGAGAACACCTTAATTCAGTCGAGTTAACACGTTCTCTTGGGTGACGGCCTAAATTGTCCAATGCTCTAAAACAGTGTTTCCTAATCTACTCCTCCTGGACCCAACAGTCAGTCCATGTATTGGCCAGAAGCTGGGTGGAGCAAAAATGTGAACTGTCTGTAGGTCCTGGAGAACTGGTTTGGGACTGCAGACTGCACATTCTAAAAAATTTAACTAAAATGTTAAAAGGCATACTGCAATAATGACAGCATACACAGCAGATCAAGCTCAGGCAAAGGATTCAGCCCCTAACTGACAAAAAAATATGGAGGCAGGAGAAAAAAAAACCAGACCCAAAAAAAAAAGCGGACCTTTGTGAAGGCGGCCATTTTTCCAGGTGTTGGGGTCTGCGGTTGAAGAGAAACGCAAAAGAGAGGATTAGTTTTAGCTTCCAAGTGACACTAACGAAATTGCGCAGAGAGCCCACAGCAGACGTGACACGAGTTCCAACCCGGCATCCAAATCGCTTGTGACGAACCGCTGAAGCCAGAAGCGGAAAACAGCTGCGTGACTAAAGCTGCGTGATTAACGGCAAGCCACGTCTGCAGGCATACCCTCAGCGCCAGGGAGCCGTGATAGACGAGAAGCTGGGGATTAGGGGTCCGACATTCTGCACCGTCTGAATAAGCAAAATCTACCACGGCACCTCAATACCCCCCCCCCCCCACAACCCCGGATTCTGTAGTAAATAACTATCTGAAATAAATAAAAACACATGGTAAATCGAACACCTCAAGATCTAAAAAAAAAAATTAAAAATACACAGGACTCCATCTCAGAAATTCAGCCAAAAGATGCACTTGATGCACAGAGGCACAGCAAAGCAGCCGGACCTCCTCTCCTGTAGCGCTTTAACACCAGCCTGAGGCAGGAAGATGAAGGAATAATCCAACATCCGCGGCTACTCTAGGGCTGAGAGTCTGGAGCCCAGCGGCTTTGCTTTCTCAGGCCGGCCGTGTTAAAGCGCATCGGGGTCACATGGCAGCTACTGTAGCACATATTCTGAACAATACCCTGACGGCACTGTGCTTTCATACAGCCCAGGCCAACACACACACATACACACACACACACACACACACACACACACACACAAAGAGCTCGGGAAGAATTTCATAAGACTTTTGAGGTTTAGCATAAAGAAGGATGCTTAGAGGTTGAAGAACTGGAACAGGAATGTTGCAGAACCAAAGTCTCTGAAGAGACTTACCTAGAGTTGCTTAAATTATCCAGGGTACTTGAAATATCCAGTTGCGTGAATGGGCAAAATGTTACAGTAGAGGGAAAAAAGCATCCGGTAATGATGTGATGTAATACAGTAAAGTGATGTCAATGTGGGGGGGGCTCTGGGGGGGCCAGAGCTTTTCAGCGTACCGTTTTCATCAGCTGTCTTCCTGTGGTCCTCGGGGTCGACGTGGACGAGCTGCAGGATGAGAGGCCTGCGGGTGACGATGCCCGTACCACGCGGCAGTAGGTCACGACCCACCAAGCTCTCCAACACCGAGCTCTTTCCGCTGCTCTGGGGACGGACAGCACAGTGTCACCTTTCTATGAAGCTCAGCATCTAGTTTTAACTTCATCAGTTTCTGCTACTGAAGCAATATGACGCAAATACATTTCCTCATTATCTTTTCAGTGAGTGACAACCTATACAGATAGGGCAATCGTAGATCCATGGTAGAGAGGGCAATAATAAATCGTTTGCAAATGTGTGTGAAGAATGCGACACAGTTTAACAATTTCTGAATCCCCCAGCTGGATAAATTCTTGAGGTAAACATCTTTCAACCTTGTGTCATTAATATAACCAAGCAAGATAGCTATCATAACGTCACCGACGTTTTTTTCGGCCTTATATCAAAAAGTGACAAATAAGCGGCCCTTAATCGATTAGTAACTGGAATATTTTATTATAAATTATAGCAGACACCGTTCGTCAGGTACAATAATGAAAGTAAAACGCGCCGGTCGGGGTTGCGATAAGCACGTTACTTATACCTGCGTTCCGACAACAGCAATCTGCGGCAGCTGGATTACGTCTGCACCCACTGTGTTGAAGACGTCCTGAAGCTTATTTATAACTGGTATAAGAGCCTCCATGGTTTGGCAGAACGGGCACCTGTCAAAATGAATGAACCAGCTAGTCAGCAACCCCTGCCAAACACAGGCACAAAGTCACCCAATGTCCGCGACACAGCCACCATTTAACCAACCCGGCCGAAGGAATAATAGCGCACAAAATTTTGGCACAGCATTCTGGGAAATGTAGTCTCCACATATCTGCCTTACCTTTAATATAATACCAGATCGTTTGAAATAAACTACATTTCCAAGAGTTAAACGCAAAAACACTGTATTTACGTTGTTCATACGTCGGCATATACGAGAATATTGTCTCCGTTGTCGAGACAACCGTAGCTGGGTGTACACAAGCCAAAAAAGCTCAACAAAAAAAAGCAGTGTGCAGTACGAATTGTAAAACTAATCTTATGGCGTTATGAATCACAGACAGGCATTTGCCCTTTGGGCTGGCAATCAAATATTAGAATGTATTTGTGGTAGATGTGCTAATAATTTAGAGTAAATCATCAAATATCCCATTTGATGATTATCCCATTAATCTATTTAGCACTGTAACAAAGCAGTTCACAAGTGGACACTGACAAGGAAAAACTCTCGGAGGAATGAAGAAAGAATTGGAAACCTAACTTCCTCTGTCCAGAAGAGTAATCACTTTAATGGCAACCAAAACATTCAATTTATAAAAGTAGCATTTTCCATAATAAATGTGCGAGTCAAATCAACTTAAAATTGCTAGTGAGAATCTGAAACCATTTGACGGCGCGTGGTAATCCCAACCCACAGGTTTAGCATAATGTCCGATTTTTGTTATGATTACATATGTTGAAATTTCAGTTATAAAATATTAGGATGTGTTGCCCTACTAACCAAAATAGAGCGAGCATAATTCTATTGGTACGCTGCTGTATCACATGACACTCTGACTCTCATAGCACGTGCAACAGTTTAACTGGTTCCTGTCGTCACATCCGTTCACTAGAAACGTCACACCCGGAATTAAGAATGTCATATTAAGAGAGCTGCTTGAATTTGTAATAGAAAAAAAGCTTTATGAGTTGGAAATTACACGCTGTCTCATTTCTGAAATGCCCCGCTATTGCGCCGTGAAACTATGTAAAAATCGTGGAGGGGTCCTTTCGAAAGACAACAAAAAAATTAGTTTCTACCCGTAAGTTTTCGGCCGACTGGGCAAGTTGTATTGCTGGAGAGATGTGTATGATCTTAGCTAGCTGTATTCTGTAGTCCGCCGCTAGCTGACAGGCGGATGTTTAAAGTCTATGACTACTAACACTTACTCATTGTCTTTAACTTTATTATTGTGCTAGGTATTCGCTATCCGGTATTCTGAATCTTGACGGAGAGTGGTGAATCTTAACGGGCTAATACTGAAAATTAGTTTAGTTAGGGAATAAGGCACCGATTTCTTGTGTTGGAGCTAGTTGTTTCAGGCTTTTATAGTCATAGTTGAATATTGATTTATGTATGCGTGATTTATTCCTGTTTGACTAAGACCGTTATCTCCTGCAAAGGTTTCCTTTGCGGGACGAAGCTCGTCTCCAGAAATGGGTTGATAATATGAAACGAGAGCAATGGACCCCAAGCCGACATCAGTACTTGTGCAGTGACCATTTCACCGAGGACTCGTTTGACCTTCGATGGGGGATTCGCTACCTGAAGAATACCGCTGTGCCTACTATCTTCCCTTTCATTTATGAAGATGAAACGTCTCCTCTTCAGGTACTTGAAAGTATCTATCATTTGGATGGTATTTGGGAAATTGACTAATATCACATTTACGTACATTACAAGTTAACTTGTGTGTTGTTTAAAGCCATAATGACGATAAGAAATTAGGTCTGATTAGCATAAAATGGTCTCTCACCAGATAATTCGTGATGTCTAGTTATGGAGCTGCGTGGTGGAAGTAAACTCAATTTCCATTCCCTTTTTTTTAGGATGAACTGAAAAGGTTGCAGAGTAAAAAGAATTCAAAGCCCAAGCCAAAGACATCTGACATAAATGGGAAACTCCTGGAACCCACCTCACCCACGAAGAAGAGAGCCCTAATCTTGAAAAGGGAGATCTCCAAGGAGGAGAGTGGGGTAGCTTCAGTTGGGGAGGGTTTGGAATCTAATCCTGAGGGTGACGAACCCCAATTTCCCACAGTGTTATTCCTGAGGGACTTGGACTCGGAAGGACTTGGCTCAGGCGAGGTGCTTCATCTACAAGCTCTGCCTCTGGGGCACAGTGAGGAAACTACTGAGAAGCAGGGGGGTGAGAGAACGCTTACAGTCTCTGGTGTGAAGCAGCTCGATGATGATCGGCAGTGTCCTACGTTGGCTTTGCAGGACAGGCTGCAGGTAGCCATAAGTCAGGCGATCAGGTCTCTCCCCCTGAGCCTTCCAGGTGAGCACCCCGCAGCTGGCACTGGGGACCAGGAGAGGGAGCCCTCGAGCACGGAGTACAATTTGCTGGATGAGCACTCCTACTCACGACAGGACACCGACAAGGAGCAGCTGTGGAACAAGATAGCCGGCCTCCACGTGAAGATCATGGAGCTGGAGAGGAGAGAAGAGGAAACAGTGGCCAAAATGAACACTTTGGAGAACCTGATTGCACATCTGAGGAAAGAAAGTATCGTTTGTGAAGAAAAGCAGAAGGCGCTGGAGGACTATTTCACATCTGTCTTTCTTTAAGGACCCTTTGGCCTCCCTTGGCTTGCTGCTATTAATCAGTGAGTTTAATTCGTAGGAAGAAAAGTCTTTTTACTTTTTCTACATGTTCACTCACACATTTTCCTTGTAAACATCCATGCAGTGCAAAAAAAACTTTGGCAGACACTGAAATGGAGACGAATCAATGCGGGCACTGGCGAATGGAGGCCAGTGTGTCTGAAAGACAGGAGTGACACTCTTCCCGGGTGTGAGTTGTGAGCACACGCCAGCTCTCAAAAGTGACTGGGACACGTAGTGCAGAAGTGTCAGGTGACATAAACAGCTCTCACAATGTATTCTGCAATAACATCTGCAATTATACTTGATATTTTGGTGGAAACCATTAAATTGCTTTGCTTAATTTCTGGTATTTTTCTTAATGACGCCCCTGCTTCGTATGTGTTTGGGTGAGCATCTGTGTCGCTGATCTGTCCTTGTATGTCTGGTTTCCTCGTTTACCTGAAGTTGACAAACTCATGTTTGTGTGGAGGGTAAGTTGGGCAGCTGAAGGAGATGGATGAGGCAGCAGATTGTAGGGGGTGGGGGTGGCGGCGTTCATGGGTGCAGATACTTGAATTTCTCCACCATTGATTAGTTGATTAGTTTGCTGCCTTCATTTCCTTTTTTGGTGTGCCTTACCTCACCACTTCTCACTATATATGCAGCTATGTACATATGGGTGTGTGGATGAACAAGCAGAACTGATCAAATATGTGCAAATGCGCCAGTCATGGATATACGTTTTTAAATCCTTACTGTGTTTGGGGATAGAGTGCAAGTACAGGCATATCCAGTGGCACCAGACAGGTGCCAAAAACAGAACGTTTGCTATTATGAGCAAATTCAGTAAACACCGCACTCATGCAACATATAAGATCCTTGGTTGTCATACATGAAAACGTGTTCAGATGTATTTAGACGCAGTACTCAAATGCTATGAGACAGATAATTCAGTGGTAACACTTTACTTGACAGGGCACAAATAATATAGTATTATACTATTACTTAGTTATTAGTTGCATACTGATCTCATGTTAATTCATCAATAATGAATCGTGATGCTTGTTGTGTCTCAAGCAGTCATCATATTTGTTACTATATCTTAGTCCTGCAAACATTTGTGAACTACTGAGGGAGCAAGTAATGAATAACACAAGTGAAATACTGACCTCATGTTTGTTCATCATTAATGAGTCATGACACATCTTTTACAGTATCTTAAGTAGCAAACATATTTGTTCATGATTTATTCATAATCTGGACTAAAGAAGTAACTGAGTAATTACTATTTTTACCCCATCAAGTAAAGTGTTACCAGTACAGCAAAATGAAATTTATAGCACAATGTCAATCCAGATGCCCAAAGACATGTTCTGTCACAGAATAACAGTACAGCATTGTACTATTAAACTGAGGATTCTGAGGACTAGCACTCTTGGAGAAGATTTAAAAAAAAAAAAAAAAACTACCAGCAGGGGGTGCTGCTGCTTTCAGCTTCTCCTTTAACAGTTGGCCTTAACGATTTGGGTTTTACTCCAAACCATTCTGCTATGCTAATATATGTATAAGTGATGTATAAACATCAAAGATGTATTAATTATAGACATGTATCTTTCGAGGTCAATGTGAGCTGAAGGTTGCAGTTGTGTTTGTGGTATTTAGGTTTTTCTAAAGTCTTTAACAGTCATGCCACCTGCTGGCCCATATACAGGCATACGCAGGCGGGGCAGCTGATGAATGAACACCAGGTGTGGCTCAGGCGCACGGCGTCACGCCTGTGCCCCTCTTCCGCAGATTAATCATGACCGGCGCTTGTTCTGAAGAGTCACAGTGTCGCAGGGTTTTGGGAAAACACATCCCTCTGAAGCCGGTTTCCCGGGAAACTGCTGACACACGCAGGACGGTTGAACACGCCAGACTGTATAGCACAAGGACACGGGTGCAGGTAGGTGTGCGTGACCCATCGAGCTGCTGTGGTACGCTCAGCCAACTGCTCTGACTCCCTCTTTCCTGTTACATCCATCAACAAATTATTTATTCACCATTATTCACTGTTGACTATTCATGCCTGCTGGTTTGTGGGTTCAAATCCCTCCCCCACTGTGTTTGAGGGGTTCTATGCTCCACCCCCCCCCCCCCAGTTCATCTGGATATGGATGTTTCCTCCTGCAGTCCAAAAATCTTGCCCATATATTTTGTGTGTGTGTGTGTGTGTGTGTGCGTGTGCGCGCCTCGCTTCCCATTTAGGGTGATCCCCAGCATTGTACTCAGTGTTCCTGACAGCCTGCAGGTTCCCCGTGACCTCAAATAGGATAAGTAGGTGGAGGATGGACGAGTATCCAAATAGTAGACACTGAGGATGGATCCACTTAATCCCCAGGGAATTTACTGTGCGGGTAAGGTTACAGAAAAATAACTATAAGAGGCGCTGTTTGTCACGCCAGGATATAGTTTGCACACAGCTCTGTTGATCAAAGTCCCAAAAGCATCAGAGTCAGCAGGAGCAGAGCAGGAGCAGAGCAGGAGCAGAGCAGGAGAGACGCCAGCAGTGCCAGCGCAGCAGCGCGGGCATCACTCCTGCCGTCGCGTCCCGCTGGGACCCACCAGCGTTCCTGACGCCTTCCGCTCCCCTCCCGTCTGGCCCCTTTTTCTTAATGGAGATTCTGCATCAGCCCGCGCTGATCCCTCTGGTGGCTTTTCGCTGATCAGCTTTTCATTATCACCTCCATGAAAAAGAAGGCTGGATTTGATCCAGCGATTTGATACCTGGTCCCTGTCCGAAGTCAGGGGAACTTTGGCAGTGATTAAAAAAAAACCCAGAAATCGCTGACCGGCGCTGCTGTGTCCTCTTTAACTTTGAAACATAGGTGATACCGGACCGTGTAATGTTACCTGCAACCGGATCCTTAAAACCTGCACACCGCATCGTTCATAGGAGACACTACATCTGTGATTATAGCTTACCGTGGTCCTGCAGCGCTGAGGCTTCTGGGACATCAGCTACCCCCGGTCAAAGAGGCGGACGGTGAAACATCCAAGCAGATAGCATGATATTCAGATACAGCTTCCTCAAATTACTATTTATGGAAAGACAATCTTCTTCATATCTCCTAGAGGCACAGGACAAAGATCAGGTCCTTTCATCGATGGACAGTGTTGCCACTTTATGTATAATCTCCGTCAACAAAACCGATGGATTAAATGCTGTGCTGTTCTCTGAAAGCTCTTTGACAGCTAATTTTCTCCTCAGGATGGGGATATTTTTAGCTCTTTAAAACCATCTGCTATGTTCACAATGACATAGATGTATTTCTCAGACACACTTATCCAAAGTCACAAAATTACAAAAGGACTTAAAAAGGTGATCAGAACCATCAAGAAATAAGCAAATGTGTGAATCACATCCAACGCCATACAAAGGTTATATTAAAGGCTTGCTAGGCACTACCTTCAGCCATAGGTAGAGTTCTCAGTCCTTCGTTTCAGTACATCCTTGCTTTTCTGACAGGAAAAAATCATTCCGCCACGCAGGGACCTAAACTGAAAGACAAGCGAGTGATCGTCAGCCTTCCTGTCACAGGAGAGTCAGGAGTCCTGATTATGAAGATTGTGGAGGTCTTGGCAGAGTTTGTGGGCCGGGCGAGGATTTGAAGCGAACTCTGCAGCTCCCATGATACACCGGCATGCTCGTACCAAGGTCTTGAACTGGAAATGAGCTCTGGCTCACAGGCAGTTACAGAGGGACCGGGTGGAATGAGATAGAGGGTTAATACATAAATGCAGCAATGTTCTGGAAGAGCTGCAGAATTGCATACGGGGTGTCTGGCCACTTTCAGAAATACAGCTCGACAATTACTCTTATTTTTACAGAACTCCTTCATACTCGCCTTGGCAGGCCTGCATTTCAGTTACTCTTCCAGTAATTTGTGGAAATAAATTGTCTGTTAATTTCCTGATTAACTCTGCTGGTAGGGCTCCTTCACCGTATAAAATGGTTTCTCTGTTAGACTGACTGTAGAAAATAATGAAAGCCTTACAGAAAGAGCCCCTCCCCCTCCGTCCCACTGCACCTCCATAACAATCTAACGACCCAAAGCAGCTGATGAAATAAAACATTGAAATGCTGATTTAGCTGCACTCCATCAAGCACAAAGCTGAGGGTTACAATTCCACAGAAATAATATTACCATTCTCCTGTGTATCTGTGAATTCTATACATTGCCCACAAAGGACATAAAACGAGTCACCAGATACCAAAATATGGAGACATCATTGTTTATAACCATAAGTAAGAACCATAAACTCTGTTTACAGAATAATATTGTAATACCAAAAGTCAATTTTTGTATTGCATTTGATTGACTTTAATTTTGCCAGATCTCTTGAGTAAATTTAATTGAATTAAGTTTTAGGTAAACATATAAACAACAACCAAATAAAATGGTTGAACTGGATTGCTATTAGATTTGGGTTAATAGGCAAACAGAGAAGTAGGCATTTTAAGATCTGATTTAATGATCTTTGTTCTTCTGCTGAAATACAAATTGTTGAGAAAATGCACACTGGGGTCAACTGTTGCCACAATAAGTCGATATTCATAGAGATTTGTGAATAAGTTCCTTTAGGCCTCTAAGCTGAAACTGGCTCATAAAGATAAGTGCGTGCGTGCAGCGAGGTAACTGCACCACAGCCGTGGGAAATGCCAGAGGCGCAAAGGACACGAGGCAGCGCAGAGACTCCCTGTCCTCCAGGGATTAAATCCCATACGGACGCCACAGATATAAAGGTAGATTAATGAGCATCTCATAAATTTCCGTTTCTATGCAAACCTAGTTTAAGGTTCACAAATCATGTACATCACCTGGCTAATCTGGAACAACATGAGGAGAGGATTTCTCCCTGTGAAAAATGACTCGACGTATCTGGGTTAAATCTCGAGGGGCAAGGGCCTTCCTCGTCCTTCTGTTTTCTTTTTTGCAGTGGAGTTTGTCTACTCTTACTGAACACCTCCCCCACATATATATTATATTTTCCCTACATCCAAGATTAGCTGCATCATTTCATACACCTGACCTCTGCGTATAATGTCCAATCAGTTCATAATGTACAAGCAGGGTAAAGGAACATCCGCCTAACGGACCCGTTCTTAGGAACGAATTGCCATAAAGCCCATTATCCTAAACATTCCGGTTAAAGACAATGGTTCGTGATACCGAACTAGCGCGATACTTTGCGACGCTCATGGTTTCTGCGGTTCGTCGGATCGAGGTACAGTTTTTAATTGTTGCTTTATATTATTATTATGCTATGTTATTTTATTTATTTATTACCAACTTTCTTGCAAATTCGACGCAGACGGAC